TTAGAAATTGACAGAAGACACGTGAGAATAAGAAAAAAAAATTGTTGACGAAAAACATGTTATTTTATTTTGTAAAATAGTATCTAATCTTTCGTTTTAAAATAAATAAATTAATGGGTAGTTTAAATCATTTGGGTAGTCTAAATGAATTTTAAGTTATAAATTCGTTACATTGAGTTGCAACGGATCATATTAGAATATAAGGTCAAATTTCAATTTAAGTGATTTGTTTTTGGCCCCAACAAGTGGATTCTAAAAAAAGATAAGAAATGTAGTTTCAACATATTTTCTTATTGATGTTTAGCAAAGAAAAAACATATTTTCTTATTGTTTGTATGTATTAAGTATTTGTTCGTGTGGTAAATATACAATTTTCAGGTGGGATGTATAGCATGTAATAGCTTATAGTATGCGTAGGGAATGGTTTTTTTATAGATTAAGCAAATAACAACTTAGATGAGATTTTGTGTTGATTTTTAAAATTTATGGTTTTCAATAAGGTTAGTATATGATCATAAATTATGGAAAAATATGGATAGATTGGACGAGAATTAATTATATTTACTCTACAATACGTAAGATTCTTATGTAAGTACGCACATATATAACGAGACTTAAGATATTATCTTCCATGCATCCATAAGCATAGAGGCGAGATGCCTGATGTACAGAGCGTTAGCGTTTGTGACAAAGACGGTTGCAGTACTCGCAGCGGCCGCAACAAAGGTTGTTGGTCGGGTGGAGGGATGTGAAGAGGATCGGCGTTTTCTTGACCTTGTCCGCCTTTTTGTGCCTAGCAGTCTACAATTCGGAATCAGCCATCCAACCGCTACAGCAGCTTTTCAGCTTATCCGCGTTTGCGTCTATGGCGATCCCTACCAAACCAGATTCTTACAAAACCATTAATACCGTTAGTAGCTTATTCATTTACTATATCAAGAACCGATGAGATTTGAGATCCCAAACAAATTTTATCGACTATAGAAAAAGATTATTTAACGCCGTAGAAGTTACAATAGTTTAGAGATTATGAATATTGATGAGATAAAAATTTCAGACTCAATGATTTTTTCACTATCACCATATAAGTATATATATATTTTTTAAATGAATGTAAAATATATTCAAACGAAAAAAACCGTTCTTTTCAACAAGGGCAATTCTATCATCATATAAGTTTTCAGTTTCTTGTTTTTTTTTGTTTGGCCAGACTATACCGAAAGATGCAAGAACTTTGGAGGAAATCTTGAGGGAAGCGTCGACGGAGGAGGAAACGGTGATACTAACGACCTTAAACCGGGCTTGGGCTGAGCCTAACTCAACGTTCGAATTGTTTTTAGAGAGTTTTCACATCGGACAAGGGACAAAACAGCTGCTACGCCACCTTTGTGGTGGTATGTATGGACGAGGAAGTTCACTCGCGGTGCTTGGAGGTCCATCCTCGCCGCTGCTACTCACTGAAAACTGTGGGGGTTGATTTTTCCGGCCAGAAGAATTTCATGACGCCGGATTATCTCAGGATGATGTGGCGCCATTTAGAGTTCTTGGGTTCTATATTGAAGCTCGGATATAACTTCCTTTTCACGGTATCTATCTCTATTTCATTATTACTACTTAGTAGAGCGAGTGTACGTACTACAGTAGTACTGATTAATACAAAAATCAAAAATCAAAACCAAGTAGACCCAAGTTTAGTTACACTCAATAATAAAAACCAATTGAACTAATGCAACTTTCACTAAAGTAATAACTAAACCGGGTCTACTTGGTCCTTGTACTAAACTAATGCAACTTTCACTAAAGTAATATCCAAGTCCTTGTACCAAAACCAATTTACTTACACTCAATAATAAAAACAATAATGGCTATACAAATATGGATATGTGCTTTTAGGGTTTCTTGTACAAATCAACACAGTAGTTTCTCACCTTGAAACTTGAACACTCCAAATCCGAAAGAAGCAACAAAATATTTTTATACACAAACCATTTTTACGGGGAGAACGGCGATAATAAACTGATAGATTACTTGTGGATTTGGTGGTTGACGGCATGCGGTTTAGTCTGGACCGCAGAGGAAGACATGGTGCGGAGACGCCTGGCTATCTCTGGGAAGGAAGGTCGAACAAATGGGTCAGGAGCCCAACACTGCTCCATCAGCATCCTCCAGTCTGGATCACAGTAGCTTGGCACTGTTGGTCTCAATGTATTGTTCACTATGCCTCCTACAATTTTATTCACACAAGAGAAGGGTAAAGATTCAGACTACCAAAACAGACGAGCATGATTGCGATTTCTACAAACTGTAAAGTCCGAACTCAGTGTACATATGGTCTGCCAGGCTGACTCGGTTTGAGAAAGTATGCTCGCAAATTGTTCTGTTTTTTTTTTCTCTTTCTAATTTGGGCCCGTTTCAAGACTATGCCTGCCATGGAGCGAATGGATTGGGCAAAGCCTGCAGAGACCACTATTTTTCTTTGTTCTGTTTCTTTTCAGGTTAACCGCAACACATGAGCTAAAATCAGGTCGGGGTTTCATTTTTAGAATCAGTACCGAGACAAGCTTGGCATGTCCTGTCACAACCACCCTGATGTACACAACCTTGTTGCTAAGAAAGAATCGGAGAGTGATGAGAGTATATTACCGATTATTGCCCCGTAATGCATATTGGCGTAGGGTTCCTCACCGGTAAGAATTTCCCACAGGACGATTCCAAAAGAGAACACATCGACCTGTGTTTAAATGAAGTATTCACCACGAAACATTACTTGCACAATCATATAAAGGGCAATGAAACTACATATATACAAAAACCGATTGAATATGTTTTAAATCTTCCAACAACTAATTTGGGAGCACTGGAATTCATTTAACTTGCACAAGAATGTTATGGACTCAATACCTTTTCAGAAACTTTGCTGCTGCTGCCACTAAGTAGCTCGGGAGCCATCCAAGGGAGTGTTCCCCTTACACCGCCAGTGACCAAAGTATTTCTTTTTATCTTTGACAGACCGAAATCACCAACCTGCATAAAGCAGCATCTCTTTGTTATTTAAACAAAACAATGTTGCATCACTATGTTCTAAAACCGTCCTAGAAAGTCACCTTGCATATGGGACGAGCGGGATCCTTTAAGTTGACAAGCAAGTTGTCACACTTCAAATCAAAATGCACTATGCTCTTTGAGTGCAAATATTCCATCCCAAAAGCTGCATCCATTGCAATGATAAGTCGCTTACGTCTATCAAGCTGCCTGTAATACGTCAAATGTGAAATGGTGTACAACTAGAGTTGTTTTAGGAAGCAAGGATCCAGACGAGTTGTATAAACAATTACCTGTTTCTGAGCAGAACATGTCTAAGCGATCCATTGACCATGTACTCTGTCACTGTAGCTAAAGTTCCTCCTGGTCCATCTTTCACTACGCCATAAAATGCCATAACATTTGGATGATGAAGCTTGGAAAGAATTTCAGCTTCATGCCAGAACTCCGAGGTCTGAAATTTTCAATCAGTGGTTGGTGAAACTGAAAACCAATTGAACTAATGCAACTTTCACTAAAGTAAGAATTATGTTTCTGAGGAGAAAGCAAGCAAGATTCTATACGGAAGGCCAACTTTTGGCTCACAATAAGGATCTAATAATCGCTTTGGGGAAAAAAAATGGACAACAAAAAGCTCAGTTCTGGGGTCAGATAGTAGTAGTGTATTCAAGCAGTACTCTAAGCAGACAAATAATAGAATTTGAAGAACCACTCAGTGGCCAATGAACTTATATATTCTTCAGACACCCCAACTCACTCCTTGAGAAAGAAAGCTCACCAATCTCTCTTGTTCAGATGAACGACCAATAAAACAGCTCCTTTTTATTCGCTTTATAGCAACATCTGTACCCCTCCATTTTCCATGATAAACAGTTCCAAAGGTACCAGAACCTAGTTCTTTCAATTCTTCCAAGTCGTCATTTTTAATGACCTGAAACAGAAACAAAATAGATACAAGCTTTTCATCTTTTCTCCATCAATGAGTAAACCAGGAACAAGATTGACAATAAATTTCTAAAGCTCCAATGATCTCAGCTGCCAATGGGGACATGAACTACTCTACTCTAGTCTATAAGCAGTGTACGTTATGCTTTTATTACAAGATCCTTAACAAGAACTGACAAATACCAAAAACAGAAAATACAGCTAATAAGATGTATTGGAAAGTTATAACTTGGTTGACAGAATATAAAAATCCTTCTCGTACTTAGGTGCTGTACTGCTAAAGAGTAATACTTTGTTGTATGAAAGCCATCTTTTAAAATCAACAATTATTCAGGGCCCTTTGATGTGTTGCTGTTCAGTTCACTAATGGTGGTGTCTCAATCGTTTACATAGTATCTGTTTAAAAAGAGAGGGCAAATCCAACAGCTTGTAAACATGTTACGATAAGCTGACAAATGCATACCTGCAGGGACCTGATGTCACTATCCGCAGCCATAAAGTCAATAAGAGGAACTCCAGTATTCTACAGATTCACGTTTATAGAAATTAGCAAATTATCAGTTGAAACATGTTTTTTGTCAGTAGTGAAACTTAATTGAATTTTTCAAATTTAGCTTGGAAACAATAAGCTTACCGCAGTTGCACCTGTGCTTTCAGCACCTTTGAACTGTGACTGACTGTAATCTTCTTGTGTGACTACTGTGTTCGAAGCAGCAAGAGGAGTGCTAGGCACATCCGGCTGGATATTTTCATCAAAGTGGATTTGTGGATTTATCTGACTTGAAGCAACTTTCTCAGACTGCAATGGTGGGTAGCTATAATCAATAGGAACTCCGTCAGTGTTAGTCAGGGAAGTGGGAAATCCAGGGTGATCCTGATCCATAAGGGATAGATCCTTCCTCTCAAACTCACCCTGCGCCAAATTTCGAAAATACGACCAAGTTTTAGGGTCGAGATTCTCAATATTTAAACTCACTCCAGGTCCACCAGCATGCAATGGCCCTAATCCAAGGAAGTTCGGAGACTCTTTTGCTTTCAATATATCAGCAAGAAAATCACGAGGAAACCTATCATTTATATCAACAACTATATCCCTTTTCTCAATGTCTCCTCGTGGAACAGCCTTGACTGAAGTCTCTGGCTGACTTACATGCTCCGGGCCATTAGGTTTCAAGTTTCTTTTTTCAACCTGTGAGATACTACCCTCACCCTCGGCTGTCCAGAGGCTTTCAGGAGCTGATCTTACTGGTGCGGTAGAATGAACATTCTGGGACTCCAAATTTGCTTCATGAAAAGTTTCAGCAGATTCGCTGATAGGCAGGAATGCATCTGAAGTTGTTTGAGCCATTACAAAATGAGAACCAAGGGAGTCATCAGATTTAGACAAGCGGTTACTTTCTGCTGGATCTCGTAGAGTGCGCTCAGAATGAAAAACCCTTTGATGAATCACAGGCTCGCCGACATTGCTCACATTAGATGAATCACCGTCTGAAGTAACAAGTCCAGGTGCTGAGAATCCTCCAGGCAGACAAAATTGATTGTCCTGGTTGATTTTCATGCCTTCACTTGTTATATCTAAGGCACTCGTTTTAGGAACAAAGGAAGTTGGATCTGGTGTTGAATTGGATATTTGCATGGAAACAGGAGCTTCTTCCTTGAGGGTGTGATCTGGGACCATAGAATCACTAGATACAGAGGAAACGGAATGCCCACTGACCATTGTGGTAGAGTGTTCTTTCCTCATTTTTGGCTCCTTTGCTGAGAGGTTGTTCTCAGCGTCCTGGGATTTTATGAGACTTTTCTCTGGACAAGCTGAAGAACTTGGATCTGGTGTTGAATTGGATAGCTGTGTGGCAATTGGAGCTTCTTCCTTCAGGAGGTGATCTGGAACTATCAAATCACCAGACATAGAGGAAACAGAATACTCACTGACCCTTGGGGTTGAGGATTCTCTCCTCATCTTTGGCTCCTTTGCCGAAAGATTGCTCTCGACATTAGATACATTAGCAGGATCATTTACCTTCTGAAACGAGTCATCTCTTCTCATTTTGACTTCTTTCGATGAAGCTTCTTGATCTTGTACATGAAAGATCTGCGCCTCACACAAAACTCCTTGCTCAGGTTTATGTGCATAGTGAGGCACCAGATTTTCAAGAGGTGTTTCAGGATTCACAGAATAAGGGATATAATGAGGTTGTGGTTGAACATGCAAAGGAGCAGGCCCCTTCTCATCTATATAGCCTACGCTTGCCATGTGAGCTGATGTGTAAACTTGGTGGTTACCAAGTCCCGTGAATTGCAATTGATGTCCAACATAAGGCTGTGAATAGGGCTCATTTCCAGTAGAAAGACCTGCTACAGGTTGAGAAGTTTGGCTCACTGATAAAGATTCATTACCTGCCAAGGGAGCAACCGAAGCTACTGCTGGTTCTGTGGCAGCTCGACTAATCTCCCTGTCAATATTCCTGTGAAGTAGTTCATCCAAATTGT